TATCCTATCCCTTCCCTGGCTATGACTAATGACTTGTCACAGGACACACTGTGGTGGAGCAGAAGCTGCCCATTGGAGGCCATGAAACAGTGTCAGACCAGAGGCTCACACAGGTGTTGTGCGGATAGCAGTGGGAATGAAGTACTCACTATGTGGCTAGTACCATAAGGGGAGTGGTGGCCGTAAATACACTGTTGCTTCTTTTCAAGGCCTGTAGAATGAATAGCAATGACCATGCACAGTGCTGCAGTGAAAACTGTGGAGCTGTGGGAGCTGCAGTGTCTAGCTGGGGATGAAGTGGCAGCCAGTTTTATGTAAATATCCTTTAAAACATTTGTTTTCTTAAAATTAATTTTAGAACACTGTATAAATGTGTAAAGTGTGTGTGTGTGTGTATTGCCTGCATCTTTGTCTGTATACCACAAGCATGCCTGGTACCCTAAGACCCCAGAAATGGGAGTGGAATTTATTGGAATTAGAGTTGCAGGTGGTTGTGAGCCACCATGTGGGTGCTGAGAATCAAACCAGAATCTTCCTCTGGAAGAGCACCTGGTGGCTGTCACCTCTGAGCCATCTCTCTCAGGCCCTATTTAAATATTCTTCTCTCGTCCTCCTCCCTGCAGCAAGCCTCTAGTGATAGAATTACATGTCTATTTAGCTACTTGAAATTGAGTCAGAATTCACTGCTCCTGTGTTCATTTTTATGGAGACATTTTTCTCTGTACTTTCTTTGTATCATTTCTATTGCTATATTCTTGTTTATCTGACTATTCTCTAATGTAGAATATCCTTATCTAGTGTACTTTCATTTTCAGAGCTTAAATTTGGGTCCATGTAACAGCTTCTGTGTTACAATTGAACATATTGAAATTAATTGATTTCCCACCTACCAGGTCTACCAGATGTGTCGTGTCTGGGTTACTTTCTACTACTGATTGATGGCTTTTAATCCTCATAGGGGTTGCATTTTTTTACTTTTATGTAAGCCTGGAAATTTTAATTTAGTGAGAGGCAGATAAAATGAGTTTTATCTTGTTTAGTGCTAGATTTCTTTTATTCTTGGAATTAGTTTTGATCATTGCTCTTGATATGATTTAGTTATTTGGGAAACTTCAATCTTATGGGTACTACTGTTAGACTTTATTAGACAAGATTTGAGCTACATCTGGGGTTCATTTTTCCCACTGAGGCACTCCCATCCTGAGTACTTTGCTCAGTGTGTAACAGCCCTGTAGACCTTAGCACAGTTGATACCATGTTAGAATCACCATTCTGACCTTAAAACGCAGCATGCCTCCCAGTAACAGCCAAAATGAGAACAAAGACTTAGTCCATAGTTCAAGGAAAGTCCCCAAATGTACTAACCTTGCCTTTTAGCTTCTGTTTCTTGTTAACTAAAGTGTGACAACCAAAATGTAGCTTTTGTGCATAAAAGACAAAGGAACATAAGGCTTGGGGCTGCATGACTTGGGCAAGTTCCCTGTGCAGCCATCAGACAGCAATAAAGACTATCTGTTTGGCTGTAAGAATGTCAATGTTGTTGATAGTCTCTGGTGGACTTACCTCACAGCAAGTAACCCCTAAAGAATGATGCTTTCCATTCCAGTTAATTAGAGCAATAAATACTCCTTTCCCTCAGCAACCTATAGACAGTTTTAGTTATTGTCATTTTTTTTTTTTTGTTTAATCATAGGTTCGGATACTTTCCCCACATGGATGCATTATTTCTTTCCTTATGAATACTCCATGTGGACCCTCTACAGACATTCAGAGTGCAATCATTATGTGTGTCTGTGTCTCTTTCTTTCCTCTCCCTCCCCTGGCTATGCTGGCTATTCTATGATGGAGACCAGGGGCCTATGCCTGGTTCCGTATCCCTACTGCACACAGTTTAGAAATTCACCCAGGCAGAAAGTTGGTACTCTTGCAGAATGAATGCTCCTTGTTTCCCACTTCTCAGGTATAACCATCCCATGGTGACTGATAAGTTTTTATTTTTTTTAAAAAGAATACTTAAGAAAGTACCTATTTTTCAAACAGATTAATATATGATCTTGATATTTCCCTTTGCTTTGTTTTTTACTTAAATCCATGAACTTTTACCCTTCATTTAAGAAGATACTAGTCATAAATAATCACAGTGTCCTAGAGGGTTCTAGTTCCTGTAAGCTGGGGTGATGAAGTGTATGGATTGTTCAATGAGGACCACCAAATGGTGATGATAACCTTTAGGAGAAGAAGAAATAACAGATCCACAAATTCCTGGAATGTGATGTATCAAGAGCAAATGAGGGAAATCTTTTCTTCCCAGGTAGCAGAATATTTTGAATCACATAAATCCTTCTATAGAAACACACCCTAAAAAATGGACTGTTGGAAAGAAAAGCTGTTAATTTTAGTGAAGGGAATAGGAAAATAATTCCATAAAAATTAAGCAATGTCATATTGAGGTGATTATGACTTGTAACAGATGTGTGCAGGTTAAAGGGTTCCTGTGGGAACGAATTTATAGGGGGACAAAAATGGTGACGGGAAGCAAAGAAAAACAAACTCATGTCAGATTCAGAGAAGACAGGGCTTCAAGAATGGATTGTTGTCAGCAATATGGTGGGAATGTTAGGGGGAAATTTCACAGCCTGGATACAGATTCACACCTACTTCCTGAATCCATAGCAACCAGGATTGAACCAGAAGGATATCCTCTTCAGGTGGGTCCCTGCACATCCTCACAGTGCTACCTAAATTAGTTATCCAGGTTTGCAAGAAAAGCTACAAGAGGCCAATAATTCTTATGTTAGGGACTCTGACTTTCAAGTTGACCTTGGAAGAGTGGTTTTCTTTCTCTTAGGGTAAGTGAATTCACACTAACATCTTACAGAGTATATTTTTGGTGCATTTTTCTCTCATTGGCAACTAGACAATAATCTTGACCCCTTGGAGTATATAATATAGCAATTCTTGACTGTTTTATAGATAATCCGAAGCTGAATTGTTGCCACAAAAACAGGTTTTTCCATTTCATTTAGCTTCGGAATGGTTAGGTCAAAGGGAGCAAATGTGCCATGACAGCGTACTATTTCAGTTGAATTGATTTATCGTGTCCAGAGAAGAAGTCTATGTTTTCATTTCATTCCTTCATTCTTATCCTGGATTCTGTAACTCAGGTAAGGCAGGATTGCTGTTTAGAAGTCTACTTGGGGAAAAAAAAAACCACTGCATCACTCATTGTACATTTTCCATAATATATAGTTTAGGTCTCATAACAGCTCTGAGGTGAATGTTACCTCAATTTATGCATGGAGGAATCGAAGATAACAGAGCTAAAATAACATACCTAAGATGAAATGGAGGAGTGCTGGAACTCTGAACACTATATTGTGATAAATGTCTATTGTGTGTTTCCCAGGGTCCCACCTCCCTTCCTAGAATGTCCACCAGCCATTCATTTATTGTGTTAGTCACTCTTCTGATAATTAATTCAATCTGAATACTGCCCTTATAAGGACCATATAGATAAATATCAGAGCTTTCTGAGAGTTTGTGTTCTCCACAGTGTCCCAGACTAAGACACAATCACCTTGAACACTCATTCCTTAACTGAAAAGTCTTTCTGGATCCTGGAGTCAAAAGCTTCTGGCACTTAGTCCTTGACCTTAGGCTTACTCACTTGAGACTTTGTGTCTTGGGGACATGATAGACAGAAAGAATCCAGAGTATGCCATACCGTTTAGCAGTCTGCTCATTGCTGGCATGAAATTGTGCTCATTTCACTGGTGCAAGTTTTGTGTCTTCAGGGTAGCATCTGGGCAAAATGACAATGCGTGGATGGTTGTCATCACCATCTGCATTTTGCCTTGTAGACAATCTTAGAGTACCACCAGCTGTTCTGCATAACTGTGTGAAACTCCAAGTCCTCCAGGGGAAGAAAAGCATAAGGACACAGCCCTATTTGCTGTGAAGGAAATATAAGCGTATGGAACCTGGGGGTGGAGAGAAAGGCGGAGAGAGCCCTAGATTTGTTACAGCTAGAGTTTGCTTTTGTGTGCGCCTGTGTGCTGGCAAGACAAGAGAAATGTATGCAAATTCAGAAAAGAAAGTCATGGAACTTGTATTTGTGTTTGGCCGGTTGAAAAATGCCATCACATTGAGTACTCAAACATCCCACCCACGTTGCAGAAGAGAAGTATAAACACAGCTCTCTAGGGTGCTGGGTATAGCCTGAAAGAGGTACATGTATTTTTAGATTCTAGATTTATCATAAGAAAATCATGATGCACTTGTATGAGTTTAAATATAAAATCAAACTTTTCCACACCAAACTTCTAGAAAAATAGATGGCCTTGTTTAGAAAGAGCATTAATACCCTGAAATACAGGTATTTGAGGGATCAAATTAAGAGTGGGAGTGGGGGCACACATCTTTAAACTTAGTACTTAATAGGTAAAGGCCAAAGGATTGGGAGCCCAAGTTCATCTAAGCTATGTGAGAGCCTGTCTCAAAAAACACACAAACCTGAAATCTGGCTCAGTTTTCCTGATGGAAGTTGAAGGATATAAAACACAGCCATCATTTAACATGCTGTTGCTCTAGGCTTCCCAAGGGCAAATGGCCCTGTAGAGGACACAGAACTGCTGAGGCTTGCTTCAACCCAGCCGTTAGCTAATGAAAAGTTTTTGGGCTTCTGTATCATGAGTGGGCATTCTCTGAGAATGCTATTGCACATGGCAAAGGAATCTCCTGAGTTACCCTCATTTGGAAGAAACCCTTCTATAGTCCTTTGAATTATTTCAATATCTCTGGGCCTTCGTAAGCCTAATGAAAGTTTTTTTTAATTAAATAGGGTCTTATAAATCTGAAGATTTATAATTATATCTGTAATAGAAATTGTTTTGAAATCAACAAAGGTACTAATAGAAGTCTAATCAGTTAATAAGTTATAATTTTCAGAGATTCTTGTAGATGCAACCAATGGTCTTATTAAATAAGAAACACAGAGCCGATTCAGAGAAGAAAGCCAAGAGGTCAGAGCTAAGAGCCTCACCCTTCCTGATTCAGGGATCCTTTTCAGCCAAGAGAGCTCTCCGAAAAAGACCTACTTCCTGTGTGTATGTCTTTATATACTCTAGCTGTTCTGCCTTCTCATTGGTTGTAAACCCAAACATGTGACTGCCTCGTCACTGCCTGAATGTACCGCCCTCCAGGTCCTTAAAGGCGTGCGCCACCGCCGCCACGCACTTGCTATGGCTCTAATAGCTCTGACCCCCAGACAACTTTATTTATTAACATACAATTAAAATCACATTTCAGTACAAGTAAAATACCACCACAGATTCTCATGTTATATTTACTATTAATTGTACATATGGATAATTAAAGACATTCCCTTTATCTGTTTGTATAGTGCTAGATGATGACAATAAAATAACTTGGATAGTTGAGATCAAACACCTTCCCTCAGATCATGGCTCTCAGCACATGAACTTGGGTTAACACACACAAACCTCTATTTGGTCTTTACCCAGTATTAAAGAATTTTTAAGGCCATAGTTCATCTGATATATCTTGCCTCTATTTAGTGATTAACACACACATGATTGTGAGTTGAGTATGAAAAGGCATAAGAGTGTCCCAACACCAAAGAAATCACAGGTTCATGAAGTCAGAGACATAATCTCCACACTCAGAGTTGTATGTTTATTCCTTTTTTTATCTGAGTGTTCCAATGTCTGAATGAAGTGGGAATAAAACCTCTCTCTGTCTTTTAAATTGCCCATAGCATTTTGTTTGTATGTTTAAGTATTTACGTTTGCATCACATTCTTCAGTTAGAGGTAAGTCATGGCTTCTACATGCCAAAGACTGTATTTTGACAATAAGCAAAGCATTGCCAGCCACCACCATTTATGAAGAGCTTTGCATGCGTCAAATGTTGCATCTCTTTTATTTTTGAAATAATACCATTATATAGATGCTGTGACAGTTATTTCACAGTTGAGATAATGGATGACTAGTGATACTATGTACCCTGACCAAAGTTACAGAGTTAGAAAGAGGAAGAAATGGATTTCAAACTCAGGCCATTAGGCTTCAAGGCACTTATACTTAACTTTGTACCACCTGCACAATGCCAGACTGTTTTTATTTTCCCCATGCCTTTACCTCTGGACCTACCAGAATACTCTAAGTGACTCAGTGGAGTTTTGTGTACCAAAGTTGGTATACAGTAGACTCATTTGTAATAAAGGGGAGAGGGCTGTGCAAGAACACAATTCTAATCTCTTAGAATAATACATTTACTACAGACTGGGTAATTTATAATGATTAGGAATTTATTGACTCACAGTTCAGGGACTTTAAAGTCCAAGATCCAGGAGTTGTAATGTAATGAAGAGGCTTCTTACATCATCTCATGGTGGAAAGACAAGGAAAGGGTGAAAGATACAGTAGCATTAATCCATTCATGAGGGCAATGTCTCCATGACCCAAAGTTGGGATGACATACTCAAACCATAACACTTAACCTTCCTTCTTAGGGAGAAAAAGCCCTATATTCTTCTCTGGTTACATAAATCCTTCCAACATCTTCATCCTGTGAGAGTTTTTACTTTTCTGACCTTTCAGTCATGATCTCAGCCCTAGCTATGATTTTCAAGCATTCAATCCAGGCATTGTGTTAGGTCTGAGGAATTAACTTAAGTAAACTTAAGGATAAGACTCTTGCTTCTCCCTCTCAGGATAAAGAATTAACCTCTCAAAATTATAATGTTAGAAAACTAATTAATTCTATTTATTCATCTACTTAATCAACTCTCATTCTTTCAACAACTCATTGTTTTGATTTTATACAGTTTCAACCTTCAAGGTGTTCACAGTCAATGACAACAACCAGCAGGCAACTCAATGATTAATGCAAACACTGGCTGTCCTAGTTTGCCTCAGCTCTGGGATCTCCTACGATGTGGGACCTACCTGGCCCAAACTGGGACATTCCCTGACAGTTGGGTCAGTCGGTTATTTGAAACCTGTGACTCAAACTGTAAAGCCAAGGTGACATTTCCCAGCAGACAGATGTGGAACTCAGTTTCATAGTATGCGACTCCACATTGTGATAATGATGAATCTAAACACAGGGACACATGTGAAGAGAGAGAACAAATACAAGCAGAGCCAAACAGCTTTGACCTTTCTGAGTGAACACTAAACTAGCTTTAGAAATCAGCTCCTTTCGTTTTCTAAAGACCCATCTTCCACATCCCACTCTTTTCTGCATCCACAGCCTGATCCCGATTGCAGGGCATCTGGAGCATAAAGCACTGTAGAATTTTAAGTTGGCTACACTCACCCTGCGGATATCAAAGGATGAAGAACTCTCTGGAGCAGCAAAGCGTGGCTAAGTATGCAACAGCTTCGTTTGCTGAGTGACACTGAGCCACTGGGGATGCTTCTTCGGTATGGTGGAGACAGTACTGAAGCTTTCTCAATTGACCTGGGCAGGAGCACAGGTTGGAACCTCTGCTGAGGACAGACACTCTCTGTTCCCAAGGAAGAACTTGATCTCTGGAGGCTTGCGATGGAAGACTATTGCAGAACTGCCAGAAAACATAATAATTGCTGTGATTATGATTATGAGCGCCTTATAATTGCTGCTCCATCATGCCAACTATCTTGGGAAGGAAAGAGGAAGGCTTTATGAATAAATGATCACTTAAATATTTAAACAGATGATTATAATATACAATTTGAAATTCGCTGCTTTTATAGAGCCTTAAAGGCAAGTGCTACTTACAAGTCTGGGTGATTTGAACAGGCTTCCTAGTTAAGATGTTTGGTAGTCTGAAATATGTATCTTTGTGGAAGGACCTTGTACAAAGTCTAGGTGATAGATAAATTAGAAAGTATTTATATAACATAGATATTTAGGTTGCATATTTAAGAAATGTGCTAGAAAATATATTGAACAATGTTCTATCTTTAACCTAGTTCCAACAGAAAATAGCACTTCACAGAGAAACCAAGCCCATTGGAGGAAGAGGGCATTTCCTCATGTCTCAGACCTCCTGTCATATGATAAAACAAGTCTAGTACAATACTGTGGAAACATTCCGTAAAGCATAGTTTAAAAAAGACAGAAACAGCTTTTATTTGAGAGGAAAACACAGATGATATAGGAGTGATATTGCTAGAAGACACAAGCTGCATTGTGTGTTCCTAAAATCAGGTACCTACTCCCACTGTCATCCAGAGAGAAAGCCAGTTAGGTTGAGAGGGAAGAACCTGTGAACTGTTGCTCTGTTTCTGGATGGACATGGTTCAGGGACAGTAAAGCTCTAGGAGGCATGCATAGCCTGCAGCCATGAGCTGCATGCATCCAAGGACATCCACGATTGTGACCCAAATGCAAAATTGCAAACTTATTGAAACTCCATGAAATTAAGGAAAAGCAAATAATAACAAAAAAGAAGAAAACACAACAAGAGAGGTGAAAACTATGTGACAAAAACAATCTGTACTCTGCAGAACCTGAACTATATCCTCCCTTCCATTTAGAGTCTCTCACCTGAAGCAGATCACAGTGACCACAGATGGAAGCATCCTGATCTGGTATAAGGACCAGTCTACCTGACAGTAGAATCAGTCTGGTGAGGATTACCATAGAGATGAGGAAGGAAAACCATGTATCAGAGGCTTCTCCTCATAAGATAGGTGAGGCTAAAGATGTTTGTTCTGAAGCCAGACACACTTTGCAGGTATAGGAGGAAGGAAGACCATTTGAGCAGAGTGCACACGAGGCTGAATTAGCCTAACGATGATCTTTCAGTCTTATTCAGGCATTTTGTCTTTGGAAATATTACAATGGACTCCAAGGAAAAATGAAAAGTAGTTATGAGCAGCACATCTCTCTTATTTGCAAATGTATATTGTTTACACTCTGAATTAGTCAGTCTAGGCTAGGTTGTGCTGTGGCAACTAAAGAGCCTGGTGGTCTTGCTGGCTTAACAAAAGCAAAGGTCTATTTCTCTTTTATTCCCAATTTTTCAAAAGATAAAATATTCTTACATAATTTCCCCAAATCCCTTTCATACCCCCCTTATTCCCTTTCAAATTCATGGCCTATTTTTCTTTAATTACAGTTAATGATATATACAGTTATGTTATATGTATATATAAATGCAACATGCTGAATTTGCTTAATGTTGCTTGTTTTATGTTTTATGTTATATGTTTTCAGGGCTGACCATGTGATACTGGAAAGATTGTAGAAGCCAGAGAACCAAAGGCATATTTCCTACTTATATGACTTACTTCATGGGCAGAGGACAGAACTCAGCAACCCTCTTAAAGACCCAGGTAAATGGAGCCTGCATCATTTTGTAAACATATCAGATGAATCTTGTAACCATTGAGATCATTGCAGAAGGGAAAAAAATGGATGGTGGGGAAACATTAGCTCATGTTTCTTTATCTTGAGTGAATGTTGAAAGTCCATTAAATAATGATATCCCAAGCTAACTTCAAGACCCAGGTGTATATCACAGAAAAGCAATTCATATCTGTTTTCAAATCTTAGAAGTTAAGACTGGGATTCCTGAATGTAGGATGAGTGGGTATGTGATTCTTGTGCCTGCTCTTGGGGATCTTTTCCTTGGGTTGCCTCGTTCAGCCTCAATGTGATGGTTTTTGCTTTATCTTATATTTTATTTTGTCATGTTTGTTATCTCTTAGAAGCCTGTTCTTTTCTAGTGAGAGACAGAAAGTGAGTGGATCTGGAGGGGAGGTGGGATGAACTAGGAAGAGTAGAGAGAGGGGAAACTATAATCAGGATATACTGTATGAGAAAAGACTATTTTTCATAAAAGGAAAAATTGGAAAAAATAAAACATGACTAAAGAAATTTCCTAACTGGATGACCATGCAACACTTTTATTAAAACAGCAATTGTTATGTTCATAGTAATAGTTTGCCTGAACATATTTGAAAATAAAAGTAATCATATAAATTTTTACATGATACAAAAACTATGTATAGAAGGAAGGGACTTCAATTTCATACAAACTCATAGAGGGTATCATATCTACAAGGAAGGTAAGAATTTTCTCATAAGATCAGGAATAAGAGAAGTGTTCTAGTGTTTTCGCTGAAAATCTTAGCTGGAGCAATAAGGAAATAAAGGTCTCCTAAAGGAGAGAAAAATGTCTGTATCAATGGTACAAAATTATATACAGGAAAACATACACCTATTGGAAACAAAAAGAACAGTTAATAAATTAAGGGATTGAAAAATAACATTTCTATGTGCTGAGAAGGAACTATCCAAAAATCAAGTAATAGCATAAACATGATTAGGCAGAAATATAATCAAGGAGGTAAATGACACAAGATGGTGCACTGATGATATAAAAGACTGATGGACAATGGAGAGACAAATAAGTGGAAAAATAGCCAATATTCACAGACTTGAATACATTAATAGTGTTAAAATATCTATACTAATTAAAACAATATGCCACTGTGGTGAAATCCTTATCAGAACAACTCCAGTGATATTTTTTACAAAAAGGGGAAAAATAATCCCACTTCTCATCTAAAGAATTTTAATATCCAAAGGACGCACAAACCTAACTTCAAAATACACTACTGAATTGGAGTGACCAACAGAGCATAAACTGCTACGAAAACACAAAGATGGACCCATGGGACAGGTTGGACCGCCTGGAAACAAATCTCTACATTTACATCTGACATAGGTACCCAAACTGTACAATAGAGATGGAATAATCTCTACAATCAATGGTGGTAAGTAAATTTGATCACATATATGAAAGAATAAAGCTGATCTCAAAACATATGCAAAAGCCATTCAAAATTGATTATTGAATTCTAAAATAAAATCTGAAAATATGGTAGTCATGTAAGAAAAACTAGGGGAAAATTTTTGACAGTGTTTTAGGCAATGATAGAAAAGGCCAAAGTAGAAAATGGGATTAAATCATATTAAAAAGCCAACAGAGAGAATAAAGAGACAATCCCTGGAACAAGAGAAAATGTTTACAAACCACAAATCTAATAAGGAGCTAATATCCCAAATGTATACTTTTTGGCAGCATGCATACTATTTACTTGGTGAGTTATCTCTCTGGCCCATATATATTATATATATGTATATATATAATATATGTTAATATATATAATATATATTAACAAAAAACTTTTCTATTTTTTTTACATTTTTTATTCGAATGATTTTATTTTTTTAAAGCTAAAATTTTAAACTTTTACTTCTTTAACTTACTTTTCCGAAATTTATTTAAATAACATTTTTTCATTTATTTTACATACCAATTGCAGTTTCCCCTTCCTCTTTCTCCTCCCTCTACCCCACTCCTCTTCCTCCTCCATGCAAAAAGGGGCAGGCATCCCATGGGCTTGAGCAAAGCATGGCACATCAAGTTGAGGCAGGACCAATCTCCTCCCCTTGTGTCAAGACTGGGCAAGGTAATTCAGCATGGGGAACAGGCTCCCAAAAGCCAGATAAGTACCAGGGACATGTCCTGATCTCACTGCTAGGAACCTTACAAGGAGACCAAGCTACACAATTGTCACACACATGCAGAGAGCCTAGGTTGGTCCCACTGAGGCTCCTTAACTATTGGTCTAGAGTCCATGAGCTCCCATTAGCTCAGGTCAACTGTCTCTGTGGGTTCTGCCATCATGAGCTCCATGCCCCCCAACCCCCACACCCCAGGCTTGTACAATTCCTCCTCCCTTTCTTCAGCAAGACTCCCCGAGCTCAGCTTGGCTGTGGATTTCTGTATCTGTTTCCATCACTTACTAGATAGATTATCTCTGACAATTATGGTAGTCACCAATCTGATTATAGTAGATGGCCAGTTCAGGCATCCTCTCCACTATTGCTAAGAGTCTTAGCTGGAGCTATCCTTGAGGATTTCTGGGGGGTTCCCTGGCACCAGGTTTTTCCCTAACCCCCAAATAGCCCCCAATCCTATCAAGACATTTCTTTCTTTACTCTCCCCTTCCTTCCTGCCTCCCCAACCCAGCCCACTCAACCAGCTCCCTCAAGTTCCCATCCCTCTATTCTCCTTCCCTGCTCCCAGTTTACCCAGGAGACCTATTTCCCTTTCACAGGGAAATCCATGTATCCTTCTTTGGGCCCTCCTTGTTATCTAGCCTCTCTAGAGATGTTGGTTATCCTATACTTTACTCCTAATATCCACTTATGAGTAAGTATATATCATGTTTGTCTTTCTGAGTTTGGGTTACCTCACTCAGAATGATTTTTTTTTCTAGTTCTATCCATTTGCCTACTAAAATAATCCTGTACAATAAGGAACTTTTGGAAGCATCACCATCCCTGACTTCAAGCTCTACTATAGAGCTATAGTAATAAAAACAGCTTGGTATTGGCATAAAAACAGACATGTAGATCAATAATTCAAATCAAAGACCCTGACACTAATGACATTAATAATCCACACACCTATGAACACCTAACTTTTGACAAAGAAGCCAAAATTATACATTGACAAAAAGAAAGCACCTTCAACAAATGGTGCTGGCATAAGTGGAGGTC